GTCTCACCATGCAGAGTGATTCTCAGGGTTAAAGACAGGCACGGAGAGCTGTATTTATAGCCTCTAAATGCAAGCCAGGTCCTCAATCAATAAAAAAAAATCGTTTGTTCTAGCTGTAGGGAAATGAACTGTCTTTGCTTCATTAAGAGATGAGCAGATAGATTGAAGTGGTGATTACATCGATGTATGCACATACTTCATCTAAACTCATCATACAAAACCTTGGCAATTTATTGTATGTAAACTATACATCAAAGAGGATTTTTTTAAAAAGATGCTAAGTGAGTCTCTGTATGACCCCTTCTTAAGGGATTTTCTCTTCTTTATTTTACTTTATTTATTGTTTTTATTTTTTTATTTGAGACAGAGTCTCATTTTGTTGCCAGGCTAGAGTGAGTGCCGTGCGTCAGCCTAGCTCACAGCAACTCAAACTCTGGCTCAAGCAATCCTCTGCCTCAGCCTTCCTACGTAGCTGGGACTACAGGCATGCGCCACCATGCCTGGCTAATTTTCTCTATATATTGTTGGCCAATTAATTTCTTTCTATTTATAGTAAGACGGGACTCGCTCCTGCTCAGGCTGGTTTCGAACTCCTGACCTTGAGCAATCGCCGCCTCGGGCCTTCCAGAGTGCTGGGATTACAGGTGTGAGCCACCGCGGCAGCCTCTTCTTATTCATTTTAACTATACGTACAAGAGAGTAATCTATGTTTGGTTGTGTTTTTCAAAAAAGAAAGAAAAAAAATTTAGTTAAAATAAAAGAAATAATAAAAAATTTAAGAAAACAAAAAACAAAAGAGTAACTAGTTATACAAGATTTAAGAAATACCACTGTCTCCAGGGTCCCCTCCGCTGCATTTCCCTTTCCACCTCTTTAATTGATTCTTTTGATATTCACTCCACATGGTGAATAACATGTGTGTTCTACCTCTTGATTTCCCTTGTTAGCCATATATCCACTGACTTCTGCGTGAAAGGTCAGGAGTTAGCTTTTTCCTCTCCACTCCCCATCACACACACATTTCCCAGCCTGTACATTAATTATAGTTACAGCTTTTTTTTTTTTAAAAGACAGTCATTTCTGTCCAGGCTGAAGTACAGTGGACGGTGACAGCTAACTGTAGATCACCTCCTAGGTCAAGTTTCTCCTGCTCAGCCTGTAGCTGGACTGCAGGCACGCACCACCACATTCACTGATTTGCAGTGTTGCCCAGGCACACTGGCATCCGCGGCGGTTCCGGGGTGTATGGTTGCACTCTGGCCTCTGAACTGCTGGCATCAAGCAGTCCTCCTGCCTTGGCTCCCAAGTGATGGATTATAAGCATGAGCCACTGTGCCCAGCCCATAATTTTTTAATGAATATTCAAAGTTTCTATTACTTTGACTATGTAGACTACTCGAATTTAGCAGTACTATGATACTTTCCTTTATTCATACCTTCTATTTTCCTAGATTAATAATTGCCTATTTTAGTTTTCTTGCTTTCTTTGCAATCAGAGGTCAGCCCCAATTTATTCTCTTCCAGTGTGTTTCATTGTAAGTGTGAGAGTTCCTTCTCCTTCCACTGTTGGATGACTGAATTGTCCTAGCTTTTCTCTTTCTTGGCTTTTACTCCTTGTGTTAAAGATCAGTCTCATGGCGGGCGCGGTGGCTTCCGCGTCATCCTAGCACTCTGGAGGCCGGGCAGGCGGATGGCTCGAGTCACGGAGTTCAACCAGCCTGAGCAGAGCGAGGACCCCGTCTCTACTATAATAGGAGAATTAGCTGGACAATTATATAATTAGAAAAATAAGCCGGTACATGGTGCATGCCTGTAGTCCCAGGTACTCGGGAGGCTGAGGCAGAGATCTGTGAGCCCGGAGTTTGAGGTTGCTGTGGAGGCTGACGCCACGGCACTCACTCTAGCCTGGGAACAGAGTGGACTCTGTCTCAAAAAAAAAAAAAGAAAAAGAATCAGTCTCTACTAGCTTTCTAAGAAAATATATGAAGCAACATTTTGAAGATCTTGACAATAACTTTCTCAAAACATGAAGGAATCTCTGTTCATTTCTTCACTCCCCAGAACTGCGTAAGATGTCAGAAGCTGATTACTATTCTTTAATGTGCCCTGATGTTTTCTCGGAAGTGGCAAAACCGTCTTTTTGCCCAGTGGACTTTGTTGAAGGTCTATAATTCACCCATTGTTTAGCTTTCAGTAGGCACATTTCAGTCTGGAAAATACCTTCATCATCTTGATATCTGGAATAGAGTTTCGTTTTCTTTACTGTTCTGTTCCTAGGCTTTTATTTTCCTGCTGGAAATAAAAAATGCTTCTCCGGTCTATGTCATATTTGATTTTCATTCACTCGCATAATATGTCTCCATGTTGTGCTTCTTTGGTCTCTATCTTTATGTTTGAAGGTAGGGCGTGGAAGCGAGGATCGGCGGGGATGGGGGGTGGAACAGTTCTTTTCCTCCTGAGACACCAGTTCCCCCCATCCTCTCTCCAGCAGATGCTCATGCGTGGCCTGGAATCCGTCAACAATCTGCTGCCTCACTCCAAGTAGCTGGACTACAGGCATGCGCCACATGCTGACACATACTATGACTTATATAATACACAATACTCACAATATATATGTGGTGTAGTATAGTGAATAATATATGTATATGTTGGCCAATAATTTTTCCTATTTTTTTTTATAGTAGAGATTGGGTCTCACTCAGGTCTGATTTTTGAACTACCTGACCTTGAGCAATCCACCCATCTCAGCTCAGAGTGCGTAGGGATTACAGGGCATGAACAGCGCCCTGCCAAGGTAGTACTTTAATTGTTTTATTTAAAGACATCATGGAGCAATCTATTGAGAACTCATTTCACTAATATTTAAAGTACTAAGATTTGGTCATATTGTTGTCTGTCAGGCAATTCTTTGATACTATTAAATAAATATTACATAGTCCATTACATTCCTGAGTATCTTCATTTGCCTTCCTCCTTTAAGATTCACTGCTTTTTGTCTCTCTCCGTCCTTCCCTATAGATATTTTTAAGTTTTACTGTAATATTAGTGGGTTTTAGGACGGAACAAAATTTATAGGATATGTGGTATTCAATCCACCATTTTTACCTGGTTACCTATGTGATCATCAGAGTAATTTGACTCTATTGAGATGTTCTTACCCCACCATTTTAGGATGAGGCCCTGTTGAAGTATGACTCCGCTTGCAATACTCTAACCTTACCGGCCATGGCGGTGGCTCACATCGTGTATCCTAGCCTTGGGAGGGCCGACTCAGGCGCATCCCTCGAGTCGGTTGGAACCAGCCTGAGCAGACCCCCATCTCTACCAAAGTGGAAGGAATTATGACCAACTAAAAATATATATATAAAAAAAAATTAGCCCGGGCATGTGTGTCATGCTGTGGTCCCACGCTGCTCGGGAGGCTGGAGGCACGAAGGATCCTTTGAGCCAGGAGATTGAGGTTGTGTGAGCTAGGCTGATGCCACGGCACTCACTCATGCCCTGAGCAACAAAGTAAGAAAAAAGTAATATATATATTAAAAGATAATAAAAAATAAAACCTTAGATATGAGAATTAACAGCGTGGAACCTAATAACAGAGAGTCAGCAAGACTTCTGTGGCCATCCAGCACGACTTTCCACCTAAGCCGGAGTCCACAGATAGTGCTCTCTGACCTTGGAACCTTTCAATAATTATACAGGAAAGAAGTTGATATTTTAGTTATCTTTTTAGCCTTGCTGTAATTACTATGTGGGTTTCATTAGATTTAAATATTGAAAATAACCTAAGGGGCCCCTTTGTTTTGCCTTTAGGGAAATCTAGGGATCTGGAGCTGGATGTAAGGCTGTAGCTCCAGAAATCATAAATAATCGACAGAAGTTTAAGCCTCTTCTATTCGTTTTTTTTTTTTTTTTTCTTCTTCTTTTTTTCCTTCCCAGGAAGGAAAAAAAGAATAACCTTTTCCTTCTTAACCTTTTTTGATTGCAGGAGTTTATCAAGTGGCTGGTCAAGCAGTGACTACAGATGGATTAACTCGCCCAAACGGATCAAACTCTTCAGGAACAGGAGTGTTGAAGGCCACCAGTAGCCACCCTGCTTCCAGCCTAACCTGACAAAGAACACCAATCAGCTGTAAGGGGGAAGCAGAAGCTGTCTTTCTGGGCTATTGGATTTAGGGTTTCAGAGAGCAGTACCACTTCCTAAGAGTTGCTTCCCTCAATTAACAAGATCTTGTAACACAGGCTGATTCTATTAAAGACTTAGTTTAACCAAACGCTACATTCTAATTCCAAAGTAGACAAAGCAGGTGCTTTCACCCCTAGAGAATAGGACTCCACAAAGTGAGCACAGCGTCACAAAGCAGAAGTGAAGAAAAAGCTAAGGACACTGCACTTCCTTTCCTGGATTCTAAGAGACAATAAAAGGTACAGCTACTTACTCTTGAGGTAGCATGACAAGAGGGGTGGTGGGAGGCGGTGCAGCAGCCTCAGGTCTCAAGGACGGCGTTTTCTGCCCTGTCCTGGGAGGGAAACAGTTCACCCTGCAGTTTCCAGCGGGTCAGAGCAGATGTCATTGCCCCGACGCGGCACTGGAGAGAGTCATGGCATTTCTTTATGTGAGTTAAGAGTGGTCTTGGCTTTTGTTTTTTTTTTTTTGGAAATGCCAGGATTTTAGAGGCTGGCAGCTTGCCCTTGTACAAGTGACTTGGTTAGTATTCCATGCTAATCATATATGCTGTTAAAAACCAGTCGCACTTGACATTTAAATATAGCATTTGTGCATGAATTTCACAGTATTATTTATAGTCCTGATTGTACGTGCCCTGATTTATAAAGCCTACAGATTTCAGCTAATTTAGGAGATATATTTTATCTAAAGGGGGAATGTTTTTGAACAATGAGCATTTTCTTGGAGAAGGCCCTAAAAGTGAGTTATCTGGCGGGCGTGGTCACGCCTGTAATCCTGCTCTCTGGGAGGCGAGGCGGGCGGATTGCTCAAGGTCAGGAGTTCAAACCAGCCTGAGCAGAGCGAGACCCAGTCTCTACTATAAATAGAAAGAAATTAATTGCCAACTGATATATATATAAAAAAAATTAGCGGGCTGGTGGGGCATGCCTGTAGTCCCAGCTACTCCGGGAGGCTGAGGCAGAAGGATCGCTCGACGCCCAGGAGATTGAGGTTGCTGTGAGCTAGGCTGATGCCACGGCACTCACGTCTAGCCTGGAAACAAGTGGACTCTGTCTCAAAAAAAAAAAAAAAAAAAAATAAGTGAGGTTATCTCAGAGGCACCATATACAACCCAAGAGGGAGGCAGGTACTGTTCCTTCCAATGGAAGCTACTCATATAATAATCATAATAATTTATAAGTAAATATTAGCAGAGAATAGCAATAGGCCCCTAAAATCAATTTTATCATATCTTCACCAACAATAGCAATAGTTGCTACCATTTGTCATTAAGGAGTGCCTGTTGCCAGACAGTTTTACACGTGGCTCACAACTTTTATGAAATACTTGGATATTCTTCCCCTGTTTTATTAGATGAGAACACTTAGACTCAAGTTAGTAACTTGTCTGAGGTTGAACAGCTTATCATTGCGAGCCGGAATCTGATGCCCCAAGACCCTAGTCTGGCCACCTGTGTACTAGCTGCACATTTTCTACAACAAAGCCCTTCCTTCCATCACAAATAATACGAGTTAGAAAGGCTGATACCAAGCCAGCCTCACCCTTCTGGAGGGTTCCCGATTCCTACGTCAGGAGTGGCCATGTCAGGCTGGGTCTCTCCCGCAGCAGGCTGATGGGAGAGAAGGTCAGGCCCCACAAGCAGAAGTTCTGGACTGAACTTGGAAACTATTGAAAGGAAACAGCAACAAGAAAAAAATATATGGTAAAAATACATATTTCTCCTGTATCAAAAAAAATTGAATAATTTTTAGTACTCTGGACCTGTTTCATCGTCTATAAAATAGGAAGTTATAGTTCAGATGATCCTTAAAGTTCTCTAGATCCCTTAAGATTTGTGAGTTTTTGAATTTAAAAGCAGCTTGTTTTCAGGCTCAGCCAGTTCTGAGGTTCAGATAGTATTGATCTGGCAAAAGGATTCAGGTAGGTGAAACTGCTAAACGAAAGCATGCTGTGCTTGAGTAGTATCTTTTTCTAGAGGCTCACACTCTGAGGGATGAAAATGAAAGCATTTACGAGAACGGCGGCCATGTCTCCCACTGCCACTCGCTCTGAAGCCAGGCTCACAAAGCACCATGGTCGCTAGAATTGCTCTCATTATTTAAATTACCATTTTCCACTTTAAAACCAACTGTCCCGTGTTCCTTGTAGATTCTCTACTTACTGATTTTTCTACTTCTATAATTATTGACATTTAAACTTTAGGTAAAATGCCACATATAGGAAAATGGATATGGGCATGCAAACTAATGGGGGAAAACCTGACCAGTGCCCTAAACAGAATGAAATGTCTTCCTTTTCTAACGGAAGAGTTATGATAGTCAATATCCCACACTGGCCTGCGAAAAATATTCTCAGCAAATATATAAGAACATGTGGGAAAGTAAATAAGAGTAGAAGAGTTTCAAGACTGCTCTAAATAAGGAGATGTGGGTACACTGTTCTAGTGGAGAACAATTTCCAAAAAGGCGAGGGGTGTTATATCCTCATAAACCCATCATAAGTTGAAAATACATTTAATACACTTACCCTACTGAACACCATAGCTTAGCCTAGCTTACCTTAAATGTGCTCAAAATACTTACAATAGCCTGCAGTTGGGTAAAATTATCTAATACAAAGCCTATTTTATAATAAAGTGTTGACTTTTTGTTGACTATTTCGTGTAATTCATGAATACTGCACCGAAAGTGAAAGACAGAATGGCTGCGTGGGCACCTGGTGCTCCGTTTCTATGGAATGCATATTGCTTTTGCACAATTACCAAACTGAACAATTTTAAGTCAAACCTTTTTAAGTCGGGGACCATCTGTAGACCCAAGAGAAAAATTCCAGCCTGAGATCCCCATCCTAGAAATCATTCCCCACCCCCTTGGTATAAGCATACCAGTAAGTAGTTCCATATTCTGAGGCTTCCAGAAACTCTGACCCTAATTCTAGGAAAAAAGAACACATGCCTACTATCTATTGTACCTTACTGTCAGCCACATGACCTATTAGCATAATATTACTTTTCATAAACTAGTACTGACAAATGGGATTCATACTGAGTTCATCAGGGGGATGAAAATAAATCTAGGTAAATAAAAGCCACAAAAGTTTTACAGGGAGTTTCTCCCTTAGACCTCACAAGGTTGTTTGGACAATACTTAAATAGACCAAAGGAAGTCAACGGCTTTAAAAGAAAAATCACTCAAGCTTTGGCGCCTGCCATATTGTTGGTGCAGAGAGGGTTTCTTTTTCCATTATCTGTAGTTTTAATTACTATCCTTGTTATACTATCTAGTGACTAGAAAACCTTGTCCACCAGGTATTCTCCAGCCTTCAGCAGCTGCCCACCTCTACCTACACCTACCACCTGCGGTCATCCCAGGGCTCAGGTGGCTGGGTACCTGACATTGTGGGGCTGCCTGTCGCAGGACAGCACGGTGTTTGCGATGGACTGCTGCAGGTGCTGCCGCTGCCGCCTCAGGGTCTGCTGGAAGTCGTCTTCCAGGGTCTGCACTACGTAACGCAGGAAAAGGACCCGGCCAGGCAGAGTCTGCCCCTGTGGGAAGATGAATGAGAAGTCAGTCTTTTCAGTCCCCTGGATGATAGCAAGCACTAGGAACTCTTAAATACTGAGTCCAAGAGAAGGCCATGAGTCAACAGATGTGTCTGTACCTAAAATAGAGGCTCCTGGGAGAGAGCAGGTAGCCTAGGCCATTACGAGAGAGGACAAGTAGGGCAACTGCTAAAAAAATGATATCCTGTAAGGTCTGAGAAACCATTTTGGTTTTGGTTTCTAAGGATTAAAAATAATTTACTTACTCAAAAGAGTAGGCATCTGCAGATAATTAGAATTTCTTGACAGCTAAGATGTAACCAGAGGTCTGCCGGAGTCTCTAGGATTACAGACCTTTTGATCTAGAGACAGCCGTGGGAAGTCAGTCTCTCTCAGTGAACCTACAAACCTAGGATAAACCCCAAACTTAGAGAGCAGAACAGAGAGAGAAGCTGGCTCTTTAACGACTCTGCTGAGCCGCTGGATCAACGACCATGATGCCCGCCTTACTGCTGGACTTCCAGTGACGTGAGCTGACACGTCCTTATTGTTGAGGCAGGTCTGAGTTGGGTATTCTGTCATGGGTGAAACGCTCCCAACTGACACAGGTAAAGAGCACGGGCTTTGGTGGAACACAGGTTTAACATTTTTGTTGTTTGTTTTAAACCTAGCTCCATCCCTTATTTCTCTTACTGAACTCCTCTGAGTCTCATGGGGATAATTCTGACCTTAGCAAAGACAGACCTTACCTGTCACATAGCTGGCAGGCATGCACAATTTGTTGGTTTCCCTTTACTAGAAGACTCAGGAGCTCAGCCTTTGAAACGTCACAGAATAGGAAGGCACCAAACTGTTTCTGGACTATGTGGGAACTTTCAAACTCCAGGGGGTAGGTCTATTTTCTGGGAACATAAACTCATGGACCAAGATATGGTTCAGTCAGCAGGAAACATATAACCATTCTAAGCACATATCATTTCTTTCTTTTTTGGGGGGAGGTGACACTAAGATATCTTTGTCTTCTGAACATGTGTATTTTTCTCTAATTCTTAATAATGGATACTTTAAAAAAAAAATCAAGTATAATACTTGTGCTAGACTTGCTATGAAAACCTACTGACACCACTCTCTACCACTACTTGTCTTCACCAGTACCCTACAGGGAATAATGTTTTTTTTTTTGAGACAGAGTCTCACTTTGTTGCCCAGGCTAGAGTGAACACCGTGGTGTCAGCCTAGCTCACAGCAACCTCAAACTCCTGGGCTAAAGCAATCCTCCTGCCTCAGCCTCCCAAGTAGCTGGGACTACAGGCATGCGCCACTATGCCCGACTAATTTTTTCTATGTATATATTAGTTGGCCAATTAATTTCTTTCTACTTATAGTAGAGACGGGGTCTGGCTCTTGCTCAGGGTGTTTTCAAACTCCTGACCCCGAGCAATCTGCCCACCTCGGCCTCCCAGAGTGCTAGGATTACAGGCGTGAGCCACCGCACCCGGCCTATATATATTTTAGTTGGTCAATTAATTTCTTTCTATTTTTAGAAAGGTCTCGCTCAGGCTGGTTTCGAACTCCTAACCTCGAGCAATCCGCCCGCCTCAGCCTCCCAGAGAGCTAGGATTACAGGTGTGAGCCACCGCGCCCGGCCTCCTACTACTTTTAATAGAGCACTTTCTTGGTTATGCATTGGATTGGCACTGTTATCTCCTTAACTCATCTCTAGAGTTCTCACTGATATTCTGGTCCGCACATTGTTAACTCAGTGTCTCCATGGGGTAACAAGGGTCTGCAGCTTCCTAGTCTGCATCTTGCTGATGTCTCTCAGATCATCCTTACTCAAGGTCTCCTGTTCTTTCACTCCAGTCTGGACTGATTGCTCTCTAGGTCTGCTATTCATTGTAATCTTGGGACTTCTCTTCAATACTCTCCTGGATTAAATCTTGGATCCCCTGGATCCCATGCCTCTCTATTTTTTGATTATTCCCTCATTCCTCTGATGCACTCCCTCAGCTAACTTCCTAAGAGACAGGGCATGGAGATGTATTTTCAACTTTCAGCATATCTGCAGATGTTTTTATTCTACCCACAAACTTAACAGTTTGGCTGAATACAGAATGGTAAGTTGAAAATCTTTTGTTTTATACAACTGCTTTAGGGTGAGCAGACAAAAAGCTGGCAATTAAGCTTGGAGATAACTAAAGTTCAGAATGTGGAAGACTATTCTTGGAATACCAACTGTACACTAGCTGTCTTTGTTTATTATAGATGGTGCATCCAATTTATTTAGACAATGAATCCTCTGACTTTTGCCTGAAAGGTATGTAACCTGTCTACTGATTTTTCTGTGCTCAAGAATGAAGAGGTTGATTGTTTCATCCACAGACTTCCACTAAAAACCCATTTATAGCCCATATCTGATTTCCACTCTCTACTATATGTTTCTGAGTCCAAAATCTCACTGGTGCTCTAAAGGGAAGATTTCCTTTGTCCTTGGCTGCAGCCTTTTCTACATGTATTCTAGTCTGTACCTTTTTCTGTCCAGCTTCAGCAGCCATCATTCTTACATTTTCTTTAGGTATTCCAAATCTTCATTCAAATCTACTGTCCTTCCTCTTATTTTTATAGTTATGGATTTATAACCTTCTCTATTCATTTACTGTTGTTTTTAATGGGATCTCATAGAAGGAGAGGGGTAAGTGAATGTACTTAATCTTAAACAGGGGATGGTACATACCATTTCAACAGCAACTTTTTGTCGGGGATAGGAATATCAGGAGAAATATGGCATAGACTTTATTACCAGATTTGATGTCACTTTTCTTTATAGTTAAATCCTCCTCTGCAGAAGATACATCATCAAAATTGTTATGTTACCTCTTCCTCCATGACATAGGTGAGCAGTTTCCAGTCCCACTCCACTGTCTTGGCATTGGCTGGATGTAGCCTGAAAGTTAAGTGACATCAATTAGAATTCTGGAAAATTTAGTGGAAGAATAGACAGGATCTGGAAGATCATAGAAGGAAGAAGTTTCCTCTTAGCCTCAGTGCTCTTGCCCACCCTCTGGTACCACACTATGTCAAGCTGAGGGTAGCAGAACTTCATTGTTTTTGCTATCCAGTATCTACTCCCCTTTTGGGGAAACATTAGTATTCCAATATTGTCTTTTTTTTTTTTTTTTGAGACAGAGTCTCACTTTGTTGCCCAGGCTAGAGTGAGTGCGGGAGATGGTTCAAATTTTAGCCCACACTTAAAAAAACTGGCACCATGTAAGTTATTGTGCCTTTCTGAGCTTACCTTCCTGTGTGTGACATAGAGGTAAAAACATACCTCCAGGGTCATTAATGAGATAAACATGTAAAGTGCCAGAGTGTCTGACTCATCATGGGTCATATAAAATTCTTGTCTTCAGCTCTACCCTTTACTTTCCCAGTGCCCTTATTACAGCTCCCATTCAGCGAAATAATACTATTCTTTGTCACTTCAGTGCCTCTGAAATTACTACTCTCGGACTTTGGCGAGGAAATTCAATTTTAAGGCTTTAATGGGTATTCTCCTTCCATTGGTCTCCACTGATCTATGAAAACTAAACATAAATGTAGAAAAAATTTGGCTGGACAGTGGTTCATACCTATAATCCCAGCACTTTGGGAGACCCCAAAGTGGGAAGATCACCTTGAGGCCAGCAACTTGAGACTAGCCTGGGCAACACATTGGACCCCATCTCTAAAAAAAAAAAAATTTATTTATTAGCTGGGTATGGTGGTGTGTGCTTGTAGTCGTAGCCACTTTGGAGGCTGGGGATCCAGGAATTTGAGGTTACAGGGAGCCCAGGAACTTGAGGTTACAGCGGGCCTATGATCATGCCACCGCACCCACCCTCACTGACAGAGTGAGACCCTGTCTTTTAAAAACAAAAAATTGTGTCCAAGTCCCACAATATGAAGCTTTCTGTTGTTATCTACACCACATCCTCATATTAAAAGACTGGCTTGAAGTGGTTCAAAAAGTCAGAAGGCGCACGCACTCCTCCTTGTTTACGCAGGTCGGTCATCCCATCCGTGCAGCAGGTGCCAGGCATTCACCTGATCTGGCCTTGAGAATGATTTGTTTCCTCTTGTCTTAATTGTTTTCTAATATGTTTTATGTCTTCCTCCACCCAACCACTGGCTCATTCTCTTTTTTCCTGTGGTTTGCCCTCAAGTTGGTGACATATCTGCCCTCATCAAAGAGCACTCTTGGGGACTTGAGAGTTCATCGAGTTTTCCATAGTTAAGGCTATGGTGACCACCAACAGAGAACTGTCCCCTTTCTGGGTACACATAGCTGGGGATTATGAGTTGGCAATTAGGCTAGACAAAGCAGATTTCTCTTCTTCATTTCTTACCACCTTAAAGAACTCCAGCCACCTAAATACATCTATAACCTTTTTCTGTCTCTCCTATGATTTCTTTTGGTTTTAATAAATATTGAAAAACATAAATAATATTGGTCCATTTTTCACCCAAAACGTCTTCAGCTAGTGCCCACCACTGCCACTTACCAGCCATTGGCCTTAACTCCTCTGAGTCTTTTTTTTAACTCTAAAATAAGAGTCATAATGCTCATATCTTAGGGTTGTTAGACTTAAAGGTAAATACATAGCTAAGCTACCTTTCAGGCCCTATAGTATTACTCTATAAATATTGTTCCCTTTAAGGGTGTGGCATCAAAACGGTTTAATAAACATTTCTCTGCTTGTAGATGTCCCTATTTGTAGGCAAAATATTAATAATATAGGTTCAAGATTATAAAGTGTATCACATGTAAAACCAACCATCGAAGCAAATTTTTGTTTTTCTCTTGTCTTCCTAGCTCTTAATTCTCACTACATGCCATATACAATCATGGCCTCTCTCATAAGTGAGCTCAGGGGGAACTTGAAGGTAATTCGAGACATAAGGAAAACTAACTGGTCTCTTTTCCTCAAGAAGATTTTCTGGAAGGCAATTCCATCCATCATTGTTTCACTCTATTAATGCATGCTGTCAGATCTTTGTTTAGTGAGCTATTTTTAAATTAATAATTTTTCCAATTTGAAAAATAGTGCTTTATTTAGGTGGGGTGCGGTGGCCTGTAATCCTAGCACTCTGGGAGGCTGAGGCAGGCGGATTGCTCAAGGTCAGGAGTTTGAAACCAGCCTGAGCAAGAGGAGACCCGTCTCTACTATAAATAGAAAGAAATTAATTGGCAGCTAATATTATAGAAAAAATAGCAGGCATGGTGGCGCATGCCTGTATCCCAGCTACTCGGAGGCTGAGGCAGGAGGATCACTTGAGCCCAGGAGTTTGAGGTTGCTGTGAGCTAGGTGATGCCAGGGCACTCTCTAGCCTGGGCAACAAAGTGACATTCTGTCTCAAAAAGATAATGCTTGTTTATTATAAAACATTTTTATGATATTTATGTTAAAATATATTTTTATGATATACCCTTGATACTATCAACAGCATTTATTATTGTGAATAATTTGTATATTTCATTCCCAGTTGCATTTTTATACATAGACATTTTAATTTTTTTAATATTAGAATTTTAACATATATTTATTGTTTTTTTTTTATAGAGAGTACCATGTTTTCCTGAAAATAAGACAAGAGTCTTATATTTATTTTTCCTCAGGAAGACACCCTAGGGCTTATTTCAGGAGATGTGTTATTTTTTTTAAGTACAGTACAACAATCTACATTTATTCAAATATAGTTAAGTCTCTTCTTCTGGAACATCATCATAGTAATATGGCAGCCACAGCTTTCTTTCTTCCCCCTGGGGGGACACAGAACTAGAGAGCGGAGAGTCCTGCTCCTCACTTCAGTGAGGAGACTTTCCCTCAAGAGCCTAGCTTGCAGCACGCACAGATGGCCGGGACCTGACGAGGGAGCCAAACTTGTTGGTGGGGCTGCCCGCACCTTTCGGTCATCTGGATAGTAGCTGTCATGATGGGGCAGATGAGAAGGGCTACTCGTCTTCTTTACTGCTCCACCACGAAATGCATGTTTGTGCAGACACACTGCATAGCCACACATCACTAGGTCTTATTTTCAGGGTAGGGCTTCTATTGTGCAAATGCTTCGAAATCCTGCTAGGGCTTATTTTATGGGCAGGTCTTATTTCGGGGAAACATGGTAGGAGTCAAGAGGATGGCTCTGGAGTTATGCCACCTGTGTTTGAAACCAGCTCTGCCATTTGTTGCATGACAAATGCTTACACTCTAGATCTCAGCTTCTTTCTCTATAAACTAGTAATAATAGTATGTTATTTCTAAGGTTGTTGTAAGAACTAATGAGGATAAAGTAAGTGTCCAAAATTGTTATTGAATGTTGTTATATTCCTATTATATCAAGCAAACTTTTAATTTTTTCTTCTAATTATAAAAACAATTGCCCATTGTGAAAAATTTAAAAAGCCAAAAGAACATATAGAGAGAAAATCCATCCTAATTCCACTACCCACATAGTAGAAATCACTTTTCATATATTCTCTTCCAGTCTTTATATCATATCTTTCAGGAGAAGGCAACTTAATATTTCCTGTTGTCTTAAAATATAGCAAAATGAGAACTTCTCTAACAAAATGAATTTAAAACTTATTTTATTAGTATCTGATGGAGCATTAAAACTACCCCTAAATCTCTGTTACCCTTACCCCAAACCTAGGCTAGCTCTTGACTCTTTTTATTTTTCTTTTAGATGCTATGTTTCATAGATGAAATCATGTTATATTATAATTTGAATTATTTTTTAACTTTATATAAGCTTTTCCCATGTCATTAAAAATTTTTTTAGATAAGATTTTTTTAAATTACGAAACATTTTCAAATGCATGGAAGACTTGCTGTCTTCAGCCTATTCTAGAACCTCTTGTTTTTATGTACTATAGAAACCTATCCTAATTTCCTTCTTTTTATCTCTGCAGAACAAAGGTCAAAAATTAGAACCCATCCCTCATCGAAGACTAAGAATGGTGACAAACACCATTGAAGAAACTTTCCCTGGGACCGTGCAGTTTTGATGGACTTTGTGTCCCCCAGCATTACCCACCCAGAGAAATCGTGGCTCACATCATCCAGAAAATCCTGCTCAGTGGCTCTGAGACTGGGATGTCCTAAAGGAAGCCTACATGCTTCTCATGAAAATTCAACAGTATGAATCGTAACAGTGCTGTGGCAAAACTTCTAGGAAACTGGGCTTCAGGGCACAGCTTTCTCTTGCCTGAGCTTTATTCAGCTAGCCATCAGGGAGGGCAACTTAGTATATTAGTGTCGTTTGGACTGCAACTGACAGGAAATCCAATCTAAATTGGTTTTGATAGCTGGGAAAGAGAATTTAATTACTTATTTACTAGAAACCTGGGAATAAGAGGTGACTGATTTAGTATTAAAAAGTGGTTACCAGGATTCATTTTTTAGCTTTGCTTTGGTACCATTTTTAGGCTCACGTGTTAGCCTCCCAGCCTCAGGCTTCATAACACTCCCAGTGGGAGAGATAATCTTCTTCCCTTATAGTCACATAAGAGTTCTGAAATTGAGTCTTATAGGATTTAATTGGCCTAACAGTAGACATTAGTCCATCTTTGATCCAATCACTGTGAATTGAGGGGTAAATGTCATGATTGGCTCAGTCACATACTTACCTTGGAATTCTGGTAGGTAAAGCTAGTTTGTTAAAAGTAATAAAAGCTAGTTGCTAAAGTTGGTTCTTCAAACAATATTGGAGGCGGGGCGAGGTGGCTCACACCTGCAATCCTAGTACTTTGGGAGGCCGAGGGGGAGATTGCTCAAGGTCAAGAGTTTGAAACCAGCCTGAGCAAGAGTGAGACCCCGTCTCTACTAAAAATAGAAAGAAATTAATTGACAACTAAAAAAAATATATTATACACAAAAAACTAGCTGGGCTGGTGTAACATGCCGT